TAGCTATTCTCTGCACTGGAATTCGTTTCGCTTCCATTCTGCTTGATTTATCTGGCTTTGTCCGACGGGAGGCCAATTGCACAGGGCAGTGCCGCTGCTGGTGCTGCTGCTGCTGATCGTCGTAGTCTTTGGTATTGCTGGTGATGCTTGCGCTGCTGCCGATGGCGCCTTCACTTGCCTATATTTCGCCCCGTCGCTAGAAGCGATCGCCCAATCGATCGTACCTGAGTGCAGCAAGCAAAGTAGCTTTTAGTGGCTGCTGGCGACTCANGGTGATGCTTGCGCTGCTGCCGATGGCGCCTTCACTTGCCTATATTTCGCCCCGTCGCTAGAAGCGATCGCCCAATCGATCGTACCTGAGTGCAGCAAGCAAAGTAGCCTTTAGTGGCTGCTGGCGACTCGGTGATAAATGGTGACGCCATGTGCGGCAGCAAGAAGAGTGTCTTGTCTGGTCGGCAACAATCCCGGCTAGTGCAATTTTCTAATCGACCATGATTCGCAATTTTTTCGGCAAACGTTTTTTCTTTTCGTTTACATACGGTTAATATAATATTTGCATTTCAAATGGCTAGGCAATATGTTTTATTGAACACTATGAGAACAACGAGAGCACCATTTAGAGTACATTCAGAAAATTGCGCAACTTGAAAATATGTTTAACAGTAGTTCTTGAAAAGTATGATCTACAAAATGGCAAATTATTTTTTACTTTGTCCNTGAGAACAACGTGAGCACCATTTAGAGTACATTCAGAAAATTGCGTAACTTGAAAATATGTTTAACAGTAGTTCTTGAAAAGTATGATCTACAAAATGGCAAATTATTTTTTACTTTGTCTTTCAATAGTTAATTTAGCAAAACAATTGGCAACAAATGGAAAGTTTCAGCAAGACTTCAACAAGCAATACGGAAAAAAGTCGAGTCGAATCTTAAGCTCTGCAAACACAGTGCCGGCGACAGTCAACAAATGAGAGCAAATAGAAAACTTGGCCTGAACAAATAACTGGTGGAGCGTGCCGACAAGACGGCAGCGATCCATCAGCAGCCACATTGACCGAAGGCAGCTGCGACAAATAGACCACCGGATCTCTTTTTGCAGGTACCGAATGGGAACATTGAGAGAAAGAAAAAAAAGAGAGAAAGTGAACAGAAGATGCAATTAGCGGCAAATGGACAACAAATGACGATGCCGGTGTACTTGACTCTAGACTGGCGCTAGAGTGCACAGTTGCATGTATATAAAATGGCCAAAGACAAGTGGCACTTCTCCGAAGCCCTTTAGTTGATTCTCAATCACACAGTGTATCCCACTCTTTATATTTGTTATCCAATGATGGAAGTCAGTCTACTCCTCAGGTGGGCGCCTTTACCCATCAACCATAAAATGAAAGATTGAAAAAACCAACGACCAGTGAAAATAAAAATCAAACAAAACCGAAACACGCAAAAGAAAACTGCAAACACTGAAGCAAATTAAATTAAATTTTACAATTTTACAGAAAATTAAATTTAAATGAAAGTTTAAGTTGAAAAAGTTCAATTGCCAATTCACTGCACACGAACAATTGATTACTTCAACTTTGCATTTCACTATATCATGCTTATGTTGCATGCCAATTTAATTTTAACTTATAATTTTAAACTCGAAAACTTTTAAAGTTTGCAGAAAACGTAAAAAGTTATTTGTATTTAAAACCCGGTAATTAGATATTCAAGGGCACATAAGGGAAAATAAACAAATCAAGTGTATTTTTGTACAAGATTGATTACAATTTAAAAGCAAAACAGATTTGGTAAACAGAAGATTATGGGAAATGTTCAAGTGCGTGCAGAGGGAATTTCAGTGAACGTGTTTGCTGAAAAGAACGAAAGAGAGGGCAAAGTGGGGAGAACAAAGAAGCCCACTAGTGACAATGACAGTGCGTGAGTCACACTCAAAGACAAGTGGAAACAATGCTGCAATGTTGTGGAATGCGAGTCTGTGCTCGTGTCACTGTAGGGTTGCGTACAGAGATAGTACAGTACAATTGAAGTGAATAATACGTTATCTACAAAGAAAGGAGAAGTGAGGGAAAGAGGAGAAGAACAGCAGTCGGTACAGAGGTGCTCAGAAGAGGATTCAATGGCAATTAGTGACTGGTGATGGGCGCCGAGAGTGTGCTCGAGTGCTGCTGCTGCTTCATCATCATGTTGAGCCATTGACGGCAAGAAGGACCATTACCCGATTTTACCCTCGCTCACTGTTAACAGTCACATTCAAAGCACGTACGCNCATCATGTTGAGCCATTGACGGCAAGAAGGACCATTACCCGATTTTACCCCCGCTCACTGTTAACAGTCACATTCAAAGCACGTACGACCAATGAGTGTGCTTGCTAGGCACTAGCTTGTACATAAAAAACACGTTTAGGCATCTTAGGATATCTTTATTTTGCAATTTAAGCACAATTTACAATGCAAAAAAAGAAAAGACAGAAGAAGATGCTGTCGCTGGTGCTCGCAAAATGTTCGCCTGATTGGCAATCTGCTCTACTGGGATTTGTATTTTGTTGCATTGCCATTTTTAACGTCTGCACTCGGCCACCATTATCATTGTAACCGGCAGCACCCAACACAGTAGAAATGTAATCTATTGATAGATGGATTGCAGTACTATTTCGGCAGGTGTTACTTTAATTAGATAGAGTAACGGCCACCAGGCTGATTTAAAATGGAACTGAATTATCAAAGTTGAGCACCATTTAAGCGTACCGATTCACAAGATGAAAACATAAACAGTGATAAAAATGGTAACTTTAAGTATTATGGAAATGTCTGTTTATTGACAAGGTTTTTTTATTTTGTACTCCAAAAACTATCTTGTCTATTTATAATGGACAACAAAACAAAAAATCTGGTGGAGAGAGAAGCTAGTAGAAAGTGTCGTCAGTGCGTGCATCGTATCCACTGGTCGACTGCACTTTAATCAACTGTTTGAAATGGATCATTAAAGCCAGCAGACAATGCCACTGGGCACAATAAGAACGGTGAAAGAAAAAGAAGAAAGAGAAGGAGAATACGGCTGCATTTTAGTTACAGCTCTCGTGTATGTGCGGTTAGGGTGTCTATTGACGGCGAGCAGATTCAGCATTGGCAGGCATTGCGAGGGCGCCTGAACGTTTGTCAGTGGGTGAGCCTTGGCAGCTGTAGGAAGGGCGCCTTCTAAGCGGTACACCGTACACCAGATAGATAGATGCTACATTGCTGCAAATCGACTCCTCTACTTGAGCAGTCGATTTGCCAAAAACACAATTCTCAATTCTTTGGGGATTCCATTATAAAGACTTCTTTTAAAAATCAGANGAGGGCGCCTGAACGTTTGTCAGTGGGTGAGCCTTGGCAGCTGTAGGAAGGGCGCCTTCTAAGCGGTACACCGTACACCAGATAGATAGATGCTACATTGCTGCAAATCGACTCCTCTACTTGAGCAGTCGATTTGCCAAAAACACAATTCTCAATTCTTTGGGGATTCCATTATAAAGACTTCTTCAAAAAATCAGAAAAAAGAAAAATTTAAATTGTACCGTTGCTGCACTTGCATGAAAAGAAGTTGCTAGTGGGTTTTCTCCGGTAACAAGAGAGTCAGAGTAAGAGAGTAGCTAACGCTAGCAAATGAGCAGAAAAATTGCCCTTGCAATTGTTAGCTAGAGGTATTATCAATTCTGCGGGAATAATATATCATCAATTATATTATTGCCAAATATATTATCTGATTTAGCAGTACAAAAACAAGGGAAATTTGTCATTTGCTTGGAAGTTTTTTAAAATATTGTTGAAATGGGAAAATAAATAAAGAGGATTTGCGTTTGTTTGTGTGCCTGAGTGCAATCAGCATGGGGTGAAAGAGAGAGAGGGAAAAAGGGAGGCCTGAGACTGATCGACTTGAATCAATTGACAGTTGGTGAGGTCAGCTGGAGAAAAGCGATCGATGCGGTGCGATGCGCTGGTGTGCTGACACCGCCAGAGACAGTGGCAGTGGTTGAGCGGCTGCTGCTGCGACAAGTGCTCTTCACGCCAATCGATTCCACTGTCGAATGACCAGTGTCGAATGTTTAGGAGTGGAAAGGCGGTGCACACACACTCTCTCTCTCTCTCAGTCTGAGTGTGAGTGTATGTTCAGTGCACTTGAGCATCGAGGCAAGCAATCTTGCCGCAAGAAGATGGTGAACACGGCGGCAGTCTGTGCTCCGGTGAACAGGCGGCAATAGCTTTTTTAAAGCCAGTTGAGGAGTTGGCTCTTCAATCGTGGTAGAAGAAAGCAAAGGAGACATAGCCATTACCATCAAGAGGGTTGCTAAGCTGCCTGTGCCTGTGGCTATGCTTATTCACGCCAATACCTTTTTGGTTAAACTTTTAAGCGCTGATGGAAATGTCTGATTAGAGGAGACACAACACACGCACATGAACTGAACTGACAGTACACTGACAGGAAGGCAACTGCAGCAACAACAGAAGCAGCAGAAGCAGCAGGCGATAGGGCGGCAGGCAGGCAGAGAAGCAGCACTGCAGCACAGTGCTTTAACGCTCGAAGGGCGGCCTTGAATTGAACAACGGCAAAACTGAAAGTGGAAACGATGCGGCATGAGGGCAGTTAAACAACATACAGGTGCTGCCTGTGAGGGGGACAAGTGGAAAACAAGTGGGAGAGCACACACACTGGCTGGGCACTGACAGTGTGGCCAACCACACAATCATTGCTTGCCCAGCCAGTCTCGTTGGGTTCACTAATCGAAGGTGCTCAAATGTATAAAACTGGCCATCCAGAGATGCCTGTGTGCACAGTCAGTCAGTCAACTAAGATAGAGAGTGAGAGTCACCTGTCACTTGTAGCACTTGTCCCTTCAGGCGAACTGCCACCATACCTCCGCATCTTCTATTGCCTTCTTCTTTCACTTCTGTGCTTCTTTCAATTTATATTTATTTGATATTTGATTAGCGACCACTTCAAAAATAAGCAATCATGAAAGCCCAACTCTGGCGAGACTACGATGTGCCACAGGAGAAAATCGAACAGTTGCGCGCCAAAGTGTACGAATTCTGTGCACAGAATCCGGACACCATTGAGATTGAAGATGTGAAAAATCGAATTCTCTCTCCTGATGATGTTCTCAACAACAACCTGGATGCAAACAACAACAAAACCACTGATTGGATGCTGAAGCGCTTTCTCATATCATCACACAAAGAAGTGGATGCGGCACTGCTTAAATTTACCGAATTTTTCACTTTTCGAAAACAGTACAAAATGGCATCCATGTCGGTAGAAAATGTACTTCCGTCTGAATTTTTTAAAATTCACCCTTTTGACTGTGAAGGTTTTGACAACAACGGCAACCGTATTTTTACAGTTCGACTGAAATACTATCGCAAAATGCCGCAATTTGAGAATATCATCAAGCGAGGAATCATATACTTTACCGAGCTACTGGACCTGGAGTACGAGCAGGGCCTGTGCGACGGAGTGTGTCTAATTGTGGATGTACAGGACTTCAGTGTGAGTAATCTGGATATGGACATGCTGCAGTTTCTGGTGAAGCAGACACCTACCCTCTACAGTGGCCTCGTTCGGTGTTGTCTAATCTACGAAACCCCCTTCCTGCTGAGTTATCTTTTCAAGGTAGTCGAGGGTTGGCTGCCCTCCTCAACCGATAAGAACGGCAATAAGCGCAAGTTCTTTCACGCCGTCACAAAAAAGAACATTCATGAGTGGATAGACGCCGACCAGAGACCTTATTTTTTGAGCGGTAGTAGGACGGTGAGCCTGACGGTGCCGTCGAGTACACTCGCCTTTGACCAGTTTGTGCGCCATTCAAATGAAATTGAAGAGCAGAATGCGAAGAAGATCAAGGAGTACTTGGACCAACTGGTGAGCGCCTGAGTCAGCAGTCCTTTTGCAACCCTCCTCTTCTTGACAAAGAGAAGAGTTAGAGGCGATGACAGTGACAGATGAAGCGATCAGCGGCGGGCCCGGTGCTAGTGCCTCTGGTCTGTTCTCTGTCGATATCGGGTTTCTCCCTGCTCATTCAAGGGTGTATTCTTGTTTGCTAATGCCAATGCAGTCATGGCCACCACAACCAACACACAAACACATTCTCTGTACGCTCTTTCAATAAAGAATCTCTGTTTCACTTATATCCATTTCTTGCTGACCAATCGATCCACTGAGGCGGGTTTTCAGCCTTTTATTTCCTTCAATTTTTCATCTTTTCAAGCTTGATTTTTCTAAATTGGTAAATACTCAGTTGCACAGTTATTCCTTGACGCAAGTGGTGCTTAAACAGTAATTTTTCCTTGCCGGCAGGTAAAGAAACTTCCATCCATTCTCCTTCTATGCACAATGCAGAATAGTAAAAGGGATGCAGGGAAAGAAGGAAGCGTCCGTGAAGTGTATCAAATGAAAGAGTGAGCACTAGCTGAAGCTGTAATTAGCTCAAAAGAAGAAGGTAGGAAACAAAGATAAAGCGAGAAAGAAAGAGATAGAGAAGTCCTATGACGAACTGATGTGCAACATCTCTTTCGTGTCTGCTTACTATTGACCCCCCATTGACGTCAGCTGTTTGGCAGTAAAAGAGACGTGAGTTAGAGTGGGGAGAACGTCTGAACTGCCGCTGAACGAGGTAAGGAGAAGAGAAGACGACAGCATCAGTAGTAGCCGATTGCAGTCGCCTGCGGACAGCAGCAGGCAGGGAGAGTGCTTGGAAAAAACATCGATTCCATGTGATGGAATGCACAGTGGGAGAGGGTGCGACGAGGAGTACTACTGCTGGCAGGCGTCAGTGCACTTCAGACCGACAGCGACGACAACAATAAAGACTGCATGTGATGCGATGTGCCCAAGCACAGTGCACAGTGGACACTTTCTTGTTGATTTGCTGCTAATCAAGAAAATTGAATTGAAGTGGTGAATAGCATAGTGACGATCGGATCGGAGGGTGAGAAACAAATGAAGACAAAATAGAGAAAAAGAGAAAAAGAAAGAAGAAAGTAAAGACTGTGGCTGAGGAGTGCACGTAATGGTCTTTTAATGTATAACACATCTCCTATTCATCTCACATCGGAGGCAATTTAATAACGTGCCAATTAAGCCTAATAAGTCGATAAATCAGGAACCGAATCGCAGAGAAAGAGAAAGAAAAAAAGAGACAGCAGTCAATTGTTCTAGACAGTACAGTAATCAAAGTGCCGTCAAAGGTAAAAACGAAGAATACAAAAATCTAGAAAACTAGCTTCCAGGTCCTTTTCCCAGGTCGATGGCTGTGCAAGTGTTGCTATGAAGCCGGTGCTCGCCATTTGTCACTCTCAATTTGGTGACAGCGAACACGTCTGTCGAGGGTTGCCAGGACTAAGTGATGGTCACACTGGCGCACTGACAATAAGTGCCATTCTGTTGGGAACAATGCAGTTGGGGAGAGACAAAGAGACAAAGACAGTGTTTGGTGTTGGTGCAGTCAGTGCCAGGCACCAGTCGGAGCACCCAGTCTTCTCTTTGCTGATGGTTTGGCTTCTGAGCCAATTGGGCATGTTGCCACCCTCGCTCTGCTGCTGCCGTACTCTGAGGAATTTCTGCTCGTCCTTGTGCTTTCACAATAGCAGGGAAGATATAATTAAACAGAAAATCATTGCCAATTATGGTGGCACAGCGAAGAAGAAAAGAGCGAAAATTCTAGTATATGAGTTATTGAATAATAACTTTATTATCAAAGGCATACGTGGTGATTGAGTAAGGATGATATGGTACAGAAAATGTCTAGCACAAATGGAGCATTCCAGTGATTTTGCAGAAAACTACTGACGATGGCAGAAGTAGACAAGAGAGTAGACAAGAATGCTTACCTTATAAGAATTTCTGGTCAGTTGGCCAATGCCGTGCGAGTGTGCTATTGACAGTGTGCAGACATGCTGCTGATGGTGATGCAGCCACTGCTCAAACTGTGCTCACACCGTCTACTCGGCACAGCAACTGTCGCACAGCTGTGGTAAGCGACAGCTGATGAGTGCTCAAGAAAAACAATATAAGACAATGCGTGAGGAGAAAAAGGGGAAATATATAAATAAATTGGGTGGTAATTAAATTAATGCATGCTGCTGAGAGGGTGAGGTGGAGAAAGAAGATGAGGCAAGAGGGAGGGAGTATTCACAAATGCAGCTGTGGCAACGGGAGTGAAAAAGGGGTGAGATGGATGAGCAGACGGTTCCGCAATGGCAACCATTTCAAGAAAGAAAGAGGTCAATTGCCAGTTCTATTTACCACCACCTCCTCCACCGCCACCACCGCCACTAGGTCCGGACGCGTTGCCATTGAAAGCGTAATTATTAAGACCGAGAAATCGTTGCTCTTTGGGACCAAAGAAAACATTCTCTCGGTTAAAAACACTTCTCATGTTGCCACTGGCCTGGAGAGGTGGCAGGCCTTCTTCATGTTCGCTGTCAGGCATACCGAACCATTTGGATGCCTTTGGCCGGGCCATCTCCTCTCGCAGTCGTACGGCCAAATTGATCGCCACCGGATTGGGAGGCACCAACATCTCTGCACCGGTGACAAATGGTGTCCCAATAGAAGAACCGTAGCCAGCAGCAGCAGCCGCCGCAGTGAATCCGTCTTCAGCGTAACTTAGCGTGTCATCGCCGGTGCCTCGACCGCCCAGACTACTTATGGAGGAGGATGTCGACGGTGTGAGTGAACCGAGCCGTGAGTTAGACGCAAGGAAGTTGGGCTGAAAACTTTTCTGGCGAGCGATTCGCTTAAGCTTGCTCAGATAGAGGTACACCGTGGTGGCCAGCGTCAGGTGGAGGACAGTGACGATGAGGGTAGTGAGGAAGATGACGATGCCCGTGTTGTTGCACTCCTCAGGACAGGTCAGCGGACTGCTCTCCTTCTTCTCACGAACCACTTTTCCCTTCTCTGTAAAAAAAGAAAGAAAGAGTTGAGAAAGAGTGAGTGAGAGGGAGAACACAAAATTAGGAAGCGGGCAATTAGTCGAGCGAATGAGGCTATCTAGCGGACTGTCAACTGCGCCCGCCAGTGCAGTGCAGAAAGCAGACAGCCGGCAGCCGGCCTAAAGAGGCGCAGTGCACTTACCCTTCCCAAAGTGAAGATCATTGCGCGTCTCCAGTTTAGCGACGTCAGCGTAATTTAAGTTCAATCGATGCTCATTAAGTGGCGAAGGGAGATTATCAGCACCAGCATGCTCAAAAGTGGCCGCTGCTGGTTCATCGAATTCATGCGGGCTGGCCAGGTCGCCGCCCTCGCCACCAGTGTCGCCCACTTGATCGTCCACCATGATCGCCAGTGAGAGTGGCACCTCAGTGGCGACGGCAGGCAGCGGCAGTATGGCCGAGGAGACGGTGTTCCAGTGACCGCTCTCCTCTTTCTCCTCCTTCTTGCGCTCCATTTCAGTTCTCTGTTCACCGTACAAGGGACTAAGGGGTACTTCAGGGGAAGAGACANTCGCCAGTGAGAGTGGCACCTCAGTGGCGACGGCAGGCAGCGGCAGTATGGCCGAGGAGACGGTGTTCCAGTGACCGCTCTCCTCTTTCTCCTCCTTCTTGCGCTCCATTTCAGTCCTCTGTTCGCCGTACAAGGGACTAAGGGGTACTTCAGGGGAAGAGACTATTTGATTTAGGTGAAAGTGCGGTTGCTGCTGCTGATGCTGATGCCGCCCGTGGTGATGTTGGTGGTGGTGGTGGTGGTGCTGATGCTGATGGTGCTTGGGCTGGTGGTCAGACAGCAAAGGAGCTCCGGCAGACTCAGACGACCAAAATGAAGGGCCACTTTCCTCTGGCGCCTTCTCCTCTGCCTTTTTGCTTGTCGGCAATTCTCCCCAAATAAATGTGCCCGGTGGTTGTTCCGTTGTAGACAAATCAGAGTCAAATAAATTCCCATTACTGCCGAAAGTGCCGATTTTCTCAGGAAGCTTTTCCTTGTCGCTGCCGTTTTCGCTGTTTGCTGGCGACTTCTCGGAGGGCACGTCTAAATTCGAATTTATCTCATCATGATTGTCTGCTTTTAAATTATCAACTACGTTTCCGTTTCCATCTCGATTACTATAGTAACGGTAATTGGTGGATGGATAAGCAAAGCCCGTCTTTTTGGAAGGGGTTCGAATGTACTTTGTCAGGTTGTGCTTCTTGCCAGCGTCTTTGCTGTTGCTGTCATCTTCCAAAACAGCCATCTCACCGGCAATTGATTCGGTTGCTAAGCTAGAGTTGACTGCTTCCGCTGCAGTGGCAGTCAGTGCCGACACAACGGGCAAATCATTGGTCTGCTCTGCCAGCAGCGAGTGGCTCATTGAAATGTTCAATATAGTGAAATTTGATTTGACAGCAGACAGATTGGCGTCTTCGGATGCAGCCTCACCGTTGCTACTAGTGTTGCCCAGAGTGCCGTTAAAGTCGTGGTAAACTTCCTGAAAATCATTCACACTTCGCCTTCGCCGCCGTCTGCCAAAAGAGCTAACATGACCACTAGCCTGGTTACACTTAATGGGCTCACAGAACTCCTGACAGAATCGAATTTGCACTTCAAAGTTGACCACACCAGTGGAGGGAAAGCGAAAAGCTTTAAATCGCGAGTAAAGTGATCGATTGTCGGCCTGATCGAGCTGAAGCTGGGGAAAGACGGACGAATCGACGGGACAGCCGTTGTTGTCAATGAGAAAGAGCGACTCGCCGTTTGAGCTGCGTGCATACAAATTGCGCGCAAACATGGCGAAAGCGGAGCCCTTCTGGTCCTTCAGCTCAATGCGAAGTGTCAAATCGTCGCCCAGACTGACCACTTGAGCGTCGTGTCCGGTGGCGTCGAGGATTCGCATGACGATTGATGGCGGGGCGGCGGTGTTGGCCACCAGGGTGGCGCCCATCTTACGGTCACTCTGACTT